GCAATCCCTGACTGACATCTCCAGCTTGGTGCTGTTCCCTTGATCACAAGATCATCCTTGGGTCATCCTTGGGCTTGGGGAGAAGGCAGGGCTGGCTTGTGGAAAACCTGAAGGTTGTGAAGATATGACCTGTGCCCTAATAGTGGTGAAGTTGGGGCCCGGATCACGTGTTTCTTCATCGAGTTCAGGTTGGCCTTTGGGTATCCCCTCCCTCAGGTACACATCCCTATGCTATTCCTCGACTACCTGGGGCATCCCTTCCTCTGACCCATTCTAGAACTTTGATGATGCCCCAGACTTTTCCCTCCCCATCCCTTCACCACAGCTTAGTCCTGTGTATCTATTCCTTCAGGAAGCTAACTTCTGCTAGCTCACAGTAGGTGCTAATGAGTCAATCAGATGAAAATACCGGCTAATTTGTTCCTGTATTCCTGACAACAGAAGGTCTTTTCAATTCAGTTACCAATGCATTTGTCTCCAGAAAGTCTCCTTAGGGCTAGGGGCAGCAATTTCATCTCTAGGCCTTAGTTTATTCATCTGTGAAGAGAGAGGATTTGGACTAGATGCCCTTCCTGGGGCAACTAACTTAACCTCTGTTTGCCTCAGTTTTCTCAACTGTAAGATGGGGATAATCATAACACCTACCTTCTGCAGCTGTTGTAAAGTGCTTAACATAGTGCCTGGCACATAGTAGATGCTATAAAAATGCTAACTATGATCATCATCATTATCATCATTATCATTAACTTGAGTCTCAGTGTCTGCCTCTGTAAAATGGGGATAATCGTACTCACATTGCCTACTGGTTACAGTCTGAATTAGGTTGTAAGTGGACACTGTGCAAATGTCAGCTATCAGGTAGAGAAGTGTGTAGTGTAGGAAGCTAGGGAAGGGAAGACCTGCATTCCATCCCAGCTCTGCCATTATCTTGCTTCTAACACCTTGGGTAAACTGCTGAACTTGCCTGGGACTCACCTATAATGTGGGGGAGGGGTGGTCTGGAGAAGAGCATCTCCAAAGTCCCTTCAGACTCCTAAACTATTTTTACTTCATATAATTTAATTTAATAAGTTACTTTTGACTGTTCAGAGTCTTGAGATCAGAGAGTGAGGGGTATGTGGAGGGGATGGTGGGGCATTGACCCGAATGCTCAGTGAGACAGGAGAGGGAACTTTATTATCTGTAGTCATTCCTTCCCTCTCCCATTCAATTAGCTCATGGTTGAAGCTAATGGGGAAAGAGCCAAGGCCGGGTCTTCTAGTGGATGAGAAACAGTGTTGCCCAAATAGGGCCTTGCCCAGGACTCTCTTCATAGTGGGGTCCCCTAGAATCTCAGCAAACCACAGAGAAGAGACCTAGGGAGGTGGCAGCTGCCTTAGAGATCTTCCAAGGCAGGGAGTCAGATTTCTTAGTAGACCCCAACCTACTGGGGGACCTCTGGGCTCCAGAAGTAGCTGGAGGCAGGGCCTTAGAGAAAGCAAGTATTCTGACATGGTTGGCAGAGGGTTAATTTTGCCCAGTGGGGACCCTGCTACCTGAGGGCCAGAGAAAGGGGGGGTGGGAAGCATTAAGATAGGCTTCCCCTACCAGCCCTGCCCATGGTGGCCCACCACACCTCCACCTGAAAGAGACCTTGCTCAGATGCCCCCCAGCTCCTTCCATCTGTCCTTGCCTCTCTTGGCATGAGAAACAGTGTCTATTGGACGGTGTGCTAGACTTAGAGTGAGGAGGCTTCACTTTAAACCCTGGCCCTGACACCCAGCTGGCTCTCCTGCCAGTGGCTCTCCCTCCCTGGGCCTCAGTTTCCTCATCTGTAAAATAGGGATGATAATGCCCAATTATGTCCCTCAAGGGGTGCTGGGAGGGAAGCACTTTGGAAGCCTTCAAGGGTTATTTAATGTGTTATGCTAGAGAACTTTGAGGTTTACCAAATGGCGGCCTCGCAGTAGCCTTGGGAGGGGTGGTATGGATAGTCTTCCACTTTCCCAGATTAGGAAGGTGAGGTTTAGACAGACTAAGTGACTAGGTCAAGGTCACAGCTAATAAGAGGAAGAGCCAAGATTCCAAGGGTATCCTGGTGAAAAAGAGAGAGTCTTGCCCACCCAGGGCCTCACCCAGGGCCTCACTCAGGGCCTCACCCAGGGCCCTGTACGTAGTGGACACTGGACAAAGACTGGTATATTGGCTTGCTGGAAAGACCTTCCAGGCCTGTGAGTCTAGGACACGTCCAAAGAAAATAAAAATATGGCACTCAATCCTTCCAGAGGCCTTAGGATGTGCATGGCATAGGTGCTACTTAGCATTCCCTTTTTTATAGTTGAGGGCACTGAGGCTCACAGGGACAAAGTTATGCACCTAGCAAGGAGCAGAGCTGGGATGCAAGCCTGCTGCCAAGGGCTCTGTCCACTCGGCCCCACCTGCCTCCTTAAAGGTCTCTGCTGAGCTCACAAGAGGCCAGTGGACACAGGGCGCTGGTGTTCTCCTGTCTTGCTAGAATGGAGAAGCCCATTGGCTGACCCTCCCACCCTGCCTGTTCGGCAGTCGGCCTTGGCAGCCGTGCAGGGAGATTATTCGGCTCGGAAACAGCCTCCGCTTTCAATTTCTCTTGGGAGGAACCAGTCTTTTCCTGAGGTTTCTTTCATTCAGGGATGGTGAATGGGTCATTGCTGAATGTAGCAAGTGCAGGGTACAAAGACTCCAGTCCCAGGCTTGGGAGGAGGGTGGGGTGGACTAAGAAGATGTACAAGCCGCTCACTTCAAGAGCTTGTGTGTGTGTGTGTGTGTGTGTGTTGTGTGTGTGTGTGTGTGTGTGTATGAACAACCCTCAGGGCTCTTTGTTTGGCCAAACTGGGGCTGTGTTGATCAGTGGTCAGCTTTGCTCTCAATGCTTATCAACGGTCAGAGCTTTGCTCTGCCTCAGTTAACCTCTCCAAGAGAAATCTTGTGAGGATTGTTCTCTTTCCCCATCTTTGTTTGATTAGAAGAACATAAACTCCTTGAGGACAGGGAGTATTCTTTTGTCTGGGCCAGTACAGGGACAGGCACACAGCAAGTTTTTAATAAATGCTTGTTGAATTGAATTAAACTTGGGCATTTTACACCTTTTTGGGATCATGGACCCCTCCGCCAGTGTCTGGTGAAGCCTCTGGACCCCTTCTCAGAATAGTGACTTTTTAAAAAATTCATGATTGAAAGGAATGCCAAATTTCTGTTAAATGTTAGTGAAAATGATGATGTAATTTTTTTCCCATCTGAGTTCACAGACCCCTTGACATCTAACTGTGGTTTCCACATCAAGACCCCCAGATTTAACTGAATTTAGTTGTTTGGTCCTGATGTGGGGAGTGGGGTGAGTGAAGAGGAAATGCTGTCTTATCTGTAGCTGCTTGAATATGCTTCTCATAGCTCTTCAAGTCCCTACCATTGCCTTGGGAACGAGTACTCCACTGATGGAGACTGTCACCCTCCTGTAACTTAGCTGTCCATCTCTGGGAGCTGCTGTGGCTGAAACTCACACCTGGAATCAAGAGCCCTCTCTAAACTTCGCTTGGGCCTCCCTCTCTTCTCTGAAGATGTTGCCCAGGGGGTCTCTGGGTATGGGACATTGTGTAGATGCCTGGGCTAGTTCCACTGAGAGGCTTTTTCTTTCTCTTGTTATAAGGGCATGGTAGGGGAGAGGAGAAGGATATGCCGGGAAATGAAGGTGATGTGAAAATGAAAGCTTAACAGTAACAATTTTGTTAACAAGTAAACTAAACAGACTCATAGCTCACCGTGGAGCCTTTGCTTAAAACTGCGGCAATTTGTAGCACCATTCAGAGTTTCCACCTTGCTGGTATAGCCTTCAAGAACTCAAAGTCACCTCCATGCCCTGGTGACTATCAGAGAAGGACTCTGGTGGAAGTCCTCTAAATGTCCATCTTGCTTTATTAACTCAGAAGGTTCTGCCTGTAATGTCCTCCTCCTTCTTCGCCTAAGTACCAATCACACTTAAAAGCCTACCTCAAATGCCACTTTCCATCACTTGCATTCATCCTCCAGTCAGCCACCAGAGTGATCTTCCTAGAGGACAGGCCTGTGCCTGTCACCTACTTAGTAATGTCCAATGGACCCCTTTTAGCTCCAGAATCAAATATAAGAAATCTGACTCCTTCACCTTGAAGATCTCTAAGGCAGCTGCCACCACCTTGGACCTCTCCTCTGTGGCTTGCCTTCCCTCCTCCCCAAGCCTTTCCTTCCTGTCTTCTCACACTTTATCCCCCAATATGTCCTCTGTAATTCAGCAACACTGGTCTTCTCACTGTTCTTCAAACACAACACTCCACTTCCTGACTTTGCACTGGCCGTCGCCCACGTTTGCAGTGTTTCACCTCTTGGCTTTCCTGGATTCCTCTAAGACTCAGTTCAAAACCCATATTCTGCAAGATGCCTTTCCCAGTTCCCCCTCCCCCCTACCATATCCCTTATCACCCTAGTGCCTTCCTTCTGAGATTCCACTTCTGCTGTGTATATCCTATTACGAATATTTTTTGTTGTTGCATATTATCTTCTCTATTGGAATGTGAACTTCTTGAGGGTAGGGCCCTGTTTTTACCTTTCTTCAAATCCCCAGTGCTTACTAAATGTTTGTTGACTGACTGACTGACCGATTGATGGACATCTGTCCTCATAATAAAAATTTCCGTAGCACTTGGAAGTTTAATTCAAGCCCACTGTAGCATCCTTACGATGGATGAATGTGTCTGACCCAATTATTGTTGTGCCCAGCTAACACAGGAAGGAGATCAACAGAGCTGGGATGCTTCTCTGGAGAAGGAGTCTGGCCTCTGGCACACAGATACTCTTCTCCAGGATGGGGACCAGCCTAACCCCGTGTTCAGGGCTGGCCTCCAGGTTTGGTATCGCCAGTGCCTGGAACGCAGTAGATGATTCGTAAATGCCTGTTGACTGACCCATGGGTACTTAGGCTGGGGTAACTGGGTTTCCATCTCTTCCCCCAGGTCAGGTGGCAGCCCTCAAGCTCACCACTCCATACTCCCTCTACGTCTGCCCCGAGGGGCAGAACGTCAGCCTGACCTGCAAGGTCTTGGGCCCACTCGCAGACCGACATGATGCACTCTATAAGACGTGGTACATGGGCCACCAAGAGAACCAGAGCTGCTCAGAGAGAAGGCCCATCCGCAATGTTACAGATCGAGAGCTGCACCCGCACCATGGCGGGCATCACAACACCAACAGCAGCCAGAATCCTGCTGGGCACAAGGACCTCACTCTGCACCATGGAGTGGAGCTGAGCTCCGACCACCACGGGAACTTCTCTGTCACCCTGCTCAACCTGACTGTGCAGGACAGTGGCATCTACTGCTGTCTGGTGGTGGAATTTAACCACCATCACTCTCAGCAGATGGTCCACGGTATTGTGGAGCTCCAGGTGCAGAAAGGTGAGCCCTTGTGCACCGGTGACAGCGTGGCATGTGTCTGGCGCTGTGGGAGTGTGGAGGAAAGTAAGTGTGTGATCGTGTGACTGTGGGAGCACGTGTGGCACTCATCAGGTTCAGAACTGAGAGCAGCCTTCCAGTCTCATCCGCTTATGTTACAATGTGGAAACTGAGGTCTTCATGGGTGAACTGCCTAGCTAAATTCAAGTTGGTTATAAGGGGTAGAGCGGGGATTTGAACCCAAGCTGTGTGTGTGTGTGTGCATGTATGTATGTATGTGTGAGACAGATGCACACACACACACACACACACACACACAGGGGACATACGATGATGGGAGAATGTCATTAAATACGGGAGTAGAAAACATTACATTTGTTCCTATGATGAGTGAGATTGAGTGTTGCTAATGCGAAGGCCTCGGAATCTCCCATTAGCATGGATAGAACATTTAAGATGCTGCTGTGTGTTTGGGTTAGCGTGTGCCTGCGTGCAATTCCACGAGGGCATGAGTGTGAGGATCTGTGCAAATGTACAGTCAATGCATCAGCAGGCTTCTCACCTAAAAGCAGGGACAGGAAGAAGGGATTTCACCTCATTCGTTCTCTCTTTCTTTCCATAGGCCAAGCCCCACTCTCCAAATGCATATTGCACCCAGCCTCCACCCAGGAAAGTGAAAGTAAGAATCCTCCTTCTCTCTCTCTCCTCTTCCCCTTAGCATGCCCTAGCATGTTCCTGACCCCTTGGGGCCAAAAACACCAGATGGCAAATTGCCCAGCACCAGTGCTGGCATGTGTGTGGGTCCCATAAGCCTCTTACCTCCTTTCGAGTGATGGGGAGGGGGTGAACAGGGGAGAGGATCAGACTGGGCCAGGCCTGGAAGCCTGGTGAGAGGCTCTTTAGCAGGGGAGCCCCATAGAGCCTTAGGCCACAAGCAGACCACAGAAGGTCCAAGTCAGAAGGTAGGAGGCTGCCTGTGGGAATGCCCCTGAGGCTCCCCAGCTCCTTGATGAAGTACAACTCCAGGAGGATTGTGGGGATTCTTCCCAGAAGAGGCCAGGAAGGTTCCCACTGTTCTAGGTGACTAGGCAGGTCAGAGCACGACTTCCACTCTCCTCTACCCCCTCTTTTTAAACAATGCCAATCCTACAAGTTAGCTTAGCTGATGATGTGTCTGATCTTGGCCTCTGTGTTGAGTTAAAGGCCTACAATCCCATTTCACAGAACTCTGCCCCTTCCTTAAGCTTGAGTTTGGACCCTGTAGTTAGCGTAACAGAAGATTGACTGTTAGAATCGGCGTTAGGAGAGCCAAGGTTGGAATCCTGCCTCTGACACTGTTTTGTTACGTGGCTCTAGTTACTCAACTGGTCTGAGCCTCAGTTTCCTTATCTGTAAAATAGGGATAACAATTGCATCTGCCTCACAGGCTTGTTGTGAGGAAAAAAGGAGATAGTGGATGGGCTAGATGCCTTTTAAGGTCCCTTGCAGATCTAAATCTGATTCCTGTGACTTGGTTGAAGTTCAACAGGAAATAAAAATGTCAGATGTGAGGAACTGCAGCATGGTGGAAAGATTTGGAGACACAGGACTTGGGTTCCAGTCCTAACAACCTAGTAGTCTTGGGCAAGTCACTTGCATTCTTTGGGCCTCAGTTTCCTTACCTGGAAAATGAAGGGGTCATACTAGATGACCTCCAGGGTCCCTTCTAATTCTATAATCTATGTAAATCATTCTGTAATTAATACAGTACTTTGACAACCTATAATTTTGTGGTGGTCAGTACTCCCTTTACTGATGGAAAAAGCGCTAACTCAGTGTGAACTGTTATACTTTATGTTACACGTCTCTGAGCTCCACCCCAATCCTGAACTCTGTCTGGGTCACCTGTCCCCTCCCTCTGAGCCCTCACCCTCATCTTGGATGCAGAAGTTTAGTCTCAGATGGCTGCTTATCTACTTTCTAGTGCTTCTTAGGTAGATGTTTGGGGGAGGACCTCAGGGAAGAAGAGGGAAGGGAACCTGAGGGCTACCCTATTCTAGCCCTTCAGCTTGGAGGCAGCAACTTCCTCCCTTTCCTAGTCACTTCCCTCTTCATCTGGCCTGAGGGTATTAACAGTAACTACTCTTGGGCAATCAGGGCTGGAGATGTCCACCCCTTGGCTTCGAGACCCGACTGTCATTAGAGGATGTGGGGACCATGAAGGGGCAGGTGATTCCTCTCCACCCACCCCAATCCAATTGCCTTCCCTGCCCTAATTATGGTTGATGACTTTCCATGTGTGAGGTGGGAGGGTGATGTTCGGCCTCCCTGAGGCTATGTCCCCTGGAGGGAATCAGTGGAAAGGGAAAAGGACCCCCCCCATTAAAAAGGTAAGATTCTGGCTTCCATGTTCCTCATTTATAAAAGCAAGAAGGTTAGACACCATCAGTTCTACCCAGACTGCCTCCAGGGCCCAAATTCAAGATTAGGGGCAAGATTGAATTCTGAATTCTGAATTCTGAGGCTCTGAGTTCAGGAAGAAGACAAGGATCAGGCATCTAGTCTGCTGAAGTAATCAGTGAGACTTTGTTTTTGAAACAAGGGAGAGGGGCAGTAATGGTCTGATCTGTTGAGCCCTCTAGCACTGTGGAAACCAGCCTGGCCTCCTCTGGGAAGAGCCCCCATATCTCTTCCTGCGTCCTGGCCTGATGAGGAGCTGGGAAGCCAATGGAGACATCCCCACAAGGATCTTCTTGGGACACTTCTTAGGCTTTTAAATCCTATGAGCCCACCACAAAGTATTGAGCTCTGGAGGAGAAGGGCCTGGGACAGCCCAGGACATTTTTTCAATGAATTTCACCTCTACAGGTAGGTACTTTATAGCCAGTCAGAGCCTAGTCAATAGGCACTTATTAAACACCTACTGTTTGCCAGGTTCTGTACTAAGCAGTGGGATACAAAGAAAGATACAAAGACAGTCTCTGCCTTCAGGGAGCTCACGTTTTAATGGGAAAAACTAATCAAATAACTCTGTACAAACAAGACATGTGCAGGATAAATCGGAGGTAATTGGAGGAAAGGCACTAGCCTCAAGGGGGACTGGGAAAGGCTTCTTGTAGAAGGGGTTTTAGCGGAGACTTGAAAGAACCAGGGACTCTTGAGATGGAGATAAAGAGAGAGAGAGTTCTGGGCAAGCGGGACAGCTGCTTGGGGGACGGGGGTGAGGAAGGCTCAGAGGCCATCTTTGTGTTATCCTTTATTTTGGACTTACCTACCTAAGACTGCTTGCTTCAGCAGGAGGCTGGGGAAGGAATTCAGTCCTCCTTGGCTTTGAGGGGGGGTATCTGCAGTTGCCTTCTCATGCCAGGAAATCAAGCTTGGGGCACAAACAGGGAAGGAGAAGGCATGGCAGGGTTCTCTTTTCATGTCTGGGGGTTATGCAGTCCCAGGGTACAGTGTCCTCACAGGGAGACGTTCACTGTTGGGGATGAAGACTGGGGAAGCAGATAGACTTCTAAAGGCCCATGTCCCTAGGAAGTGAGGAGTCAGATGGAGTCCCTACACTCCTGAAGTGTAGAGTCTAGTTTCTAGTAACTAAGAGGGGAGGTCCAATGATCTCTCATCTTCTCCACAGTTTGTCTCTCTCTTGGGCACCAAATGCCCTAAGATTTCCATCTTCCTCACCATAAACCAAGTAATAAACTAAAATATGTTTACTGGGCAAATCCCAAACAGAATCTCTACATTAAATTTTGACTGAATCGGCTAGTTATTTCTAAAACTATGCAATCAATACATTTTCATTTTACCTCGTTGTGACCTCAGTTTCCCCATCTGAAAAATGAGAAGTTTGAATTAGATGGTCAGTAAGGCTCTTTCCAATTCAAATTTTCTGTGTTCTGTGGGCCCTTTCTAGCTCTGACATTCTATGTTCTAAGATCCCTTCCAGTTCAGACATTCTGTTTTGATATTCCAGGCCTCTCCTAGCTCTGATATTCTATGTTCAAAGGCCTCTCCTGGCACTGATATTCTGTGTTTTAAGGTTTCTTCTAGCTTTGCCCTTTTATGTACTAAGGCCCCTCCCAGCACTGATATTCTGTGTTCTAAGGCCCCTCCTAGCTGTCATTCTATCTTCTAAGGCCCCTTCCAACTCCGATATTCTGTGTTCTAAGATTTCTTCCAGCTCTGACATCCTATGTTTTAAGGTCCCTTCTCACTCCAACATTCTGCATTCCAAGGGTCCTCCCAGCTCCACCTTTCTAGCAATGTAAACTGGAAGCAAGCCGACTCATTTTTCTGGAAGGACTGACCTGGAACCAATCTAGAAGACCAAATATTGCCTGACCCAGACTCAAGTCAAGCTAATATCTCATTTAATTAAGGTCCCTGATCTCCGCATGTGACAGCAGCTCACTGCTACTATTCCCACTGAGCATCTGTTTGAAGCTCTGCACCTCAGACCTCTCTCAGTGGAGAAATTATTCCTAGTGTTAGAAACTCTCTGACCCCTAATGGATTATGGGACATCTCAAATATTCCCTCCTGAATGAAGAGATTGAGGCCCCTAGAGTCTCTTTACCAATGAGTGGAGGACACTGTTCAGTACTCTGAATTAACCTGCCTGTGTGGGGCAGCAGGGCCGAGCAGATCCAACCTCTTTAATCTGAGATAACCATTTCTGTGACTGCGGTAAAGCTCACACCTTTTATGTTTAGTCACAGTTCTCATGAGTCCATCACTGGCCACTTCCCCTACTTCAGACTCAGCTCTTATCCTCCCTTTTCCACCCTCCTTCTTCCCTTGGGGCCTTAAAGAATGTTAAAATTAGGACAGGGCCTTACATTTTATCCAGCCCAAGCCTCATCAAATAAGAATTTGATGGATAAGGAAACCAGGAAATTGTCCAAGGTCACATTAGTGTCAGGGTTGGGCCTAGAAGCCAGATTATAGAACTCAAAATGTTCTTTCCAACTGAAACACACACCCTGATTATCTAAAAGTTAGCTGTCTAGTTTGGAAGGCCTTGAGGATAGTACTGAGTGAACCCAAAAGGGAAGGGATTGGAAGAACTAGAAACAAACAGAAAGGGGGCAAATTGCGTGGGTGGTTCTTCTTGACTCTGACCTAGAAGAGACATTACTCAGGAAGTTTACAATATATATTTCTTATCACTACAGCATCACATTAACTGGACAGCATAGAGAGGTGCATTAGAGGAATTTGACCGGGATGGTCTGGAATCTTCTCTTGGCAAGACTTCTGCCCTTTTTTGATGGAAACTGTCATTCTCAGTTACATGTGGATTTGATCTCCTAGATTCTTTGCCCTGTGAGACATTTTCAACTGGTAACTAGCCTTGCCTCTGTAAAACAGAGAACACCACTAACACTCTCCCTTTCTGTGCAAGGCCATGAAGACACACGTCAGAAGGTGTTTGGGCAATGCCTGATTTGTGCCCAGGGATAGGATCAGATAACCTCTGAAGGTCCCTCTCAGTGTTTTCCTGGGGGCTCTTGTCAACCGCAGAGATGCCATGATGATGATGATAATAACTAACATTAATATAGCACTTTAAGCTTTGTAAAATGCTTTACCAATATTTTCTCTTTTTATCCTCCCAATGATCCTGAGAGGCAGATGTTCTTATTATCCCCATTTTATAGAAGAGAAAACTGAGGCACAGGGAAGTTAATCAACATGCCCACAGTCACACAGCTAGTTAGTATCTGAGCTAGTCTTGGAACTCAGGTCTTCATGAGTCCAAGTCCAGGATTCTATCCACTGAGCCACCCAGATGTCTCAGGATTCAGAAATGTCACTGACTTAGATTCTCTCATCAGGAGCAAGAATCTTTAAACAGATAAACAAAAGCTATAAAGGTTTGGTTTTGTGGTTGGGTTTGGTGTATGGTTTTGGCCAACTCACTTCCTCTTCATGTGTGGTAATTTCCCTATCTGAGAAATGGAAATGCTTTTATCCTTCCTTCACAGGGACAAAGTGAGGATTAGTGGGGACCTCTATGAAAAGCTAGCTGTAAGAAAGGTAGGGAGCTTATTACTGCTGGACTGGTTTTGTGGACCAACTTATCCATCCCCCTGCGTGTAGGCAGGACTGCAGCTAGAGTGTTTCAGAATCTTTAAGACAAGGTCTGACTGGTTGTTGCCAGCCACTCCCCACCCTCGCCCCCCACTCCCCCAAACTAACATGGCGACACTTGCTCCCAAGGTTGCCATGATAGTTGTCATAGTAACACGCCTGTGGCCCCAGTCCTTGGTCAGCAACACCTCGTCCAGAAGAACAAGGGTAAGAACCTTGGCCCACTTCTTTTGTGTGTGTTCTAAATTCTCCAGGGAGCTTCCACAACATGCCTGGTAATCTGTTCTAGTGACAATCCTGCTTTCATAGTGAGAAATTTTTCCCCTATTGAACTGTATATCTTTGTATTTTTCCTAATCTATGAAGTTCAAGCCCAAATCACCCTAAGGAAAGTTAGACAACAGAGGGTCATCATCTTCAGTGTGGCATAGTTCTAGGTTCTAATCCCACCTCAGATGACTTACTTATTGTGTGACCTTGAGCAAGTCACTTAGCCTAGTTCTCTCATCTGTAAAATGGGGATGATAGTAGCACTTGTCAGCATGGTGCAGGGCCAAGAGTCAGTTCTCACCTCTGTCACATATTTCCTCATTGGTAAAATGAAGCCAGGGTTAGAGGCCCCGTCAGTTCTAAATGCGGACCCCCACGGGGTTACATATACTTTCTGAAGGTCAAATGAGATGGTGTTATGCCAACTTAAAATGTGAGCGATTATTGTTATCGTTATTATCTCCCATCTATTAGTTACTCCAGGGTCTCAAGGTAATGAAGAGCCAACTAGATTGGGAGAGGGGAGGCCCATCCTTCTTAACAGCCTCTTTTCTGGTTTTCTCCACAGGAGGAAATGCTTTTGAAACTGTCTCTGGGTTGCAGAAGGATTATTTCAAAATCACCAAAAAGGGTGGGGTGGAGGCTGCCACACCTATGGGGTAGAAAAAGTCTTTTGGAGGATGGGGTTGTTATGGGTTATCTACTCTTCCCAAAGTGCCTCTCCCTGAGGGAGGGGTTGGGGAACTTGTGTTTTTAAAATTCAATTTCTGAGATTAATTCAAGTTTTGAATTTCCTTCCCTTAACCCCTCCGCAGGGAGAAAGCAAGAACATCTTTACAAAATATTCTGATAACCATGTTTCTGTAGAACTGATTTCCTTTGGAACGCTCTGCATTTTATTTTATGTCTTTAAAAACATGATTTTGAGGAGTCCTTTGAGGCTTCTAGGGACATGATCTCAGGGCTGGGGCCTGAGCACCCCATCATTACCAGACTGCTCAAGGGGGTCCATGACAAAAAAGGTTAAGAACCCCTGCCCTAGGGAATTTGACATCCTTCATCCTCCCTGTTCCACCAGGCTTCCTCTCCTTTCTCACCTCCTAAAGAGTGGGGGCACCTGGTATGTCCTGAGAACAATGAGCCAGTTACCTATAGTCCAGTCTTTCCCATAATGCCCTGCAGTTTTAATGATCTGGCACACTTCTTTGATCCTGGAGTGGGTGGCTGCCTCCTTCCCCCTCACCAGCTCCTCCCTTCTCCACCCCAACTGGGATCACCTCCTCAAGAAGATCTCAAGCTGACTCACTTTGGAAGGAGAATAAAGGTGGTTCTTGATACTCAGTTAAGTCTCTTAGATACTCGTTAGAGAAGGATATGTTTGGCTATTATTCCTCTTTTTAAAACCACTGAGAAACCACCTGATTAGAGGGATGCAAACAGCAGCCATCTCCCTCCTCTCTGCCCCTCCTGCCAGTCCGATGGCTAGCCTAGGACTCACCATCTAACTTCCCCAATGGGCAGTAGTCAAAGAGAGACAACCAAGTTTGAGTTTGTGAAATGTCAGAATTGCAGAATATTTTTACTTTCAGCAATGTGCTGTAACTAACAAAGGCAAAAGGCTTTCTAGTGGAGGTTCCTCAGGGACATGCTTTAATAAATAAGAAAAAGAAATGTTTTGCAATCAACATGTCACAGGTTCACAGATTTAAAGCTGGAAAGGATCTTAGAGGTTATCTAGCTCAGTTCCATTTTAAAGATGAGGAAACTGAGGTCATATTTTATAGATGAGGAAACTGTGCGGACAGGATAAATGCTTTCCCTAAGGTCATATGGGGACACTCTTTATGTGATGAATACTTTTAAAATGCATGAATTATATAGAAATGTTTTACATGATTGCAAATGTATGATCTATATCTGATTGCTTACCGTCTTGGGGAGGGCGGAGGGGAGACAGGGAGAGAAGGATAGAATTTGGAAGGCAAAAGTTTAAATAAAAATATTTTAAAAAAAGAACAAAAAATAAAATACTTGAGAAGTGGGCTCTTAAGTAGACAATGCTACACTTCTGTTTATGCTGATCATTGCAGTGCAGCTGAAATTCTGTTCACTGAAATGCTGATTCTGTATATTATGTCAATTCTTTTCTTGGGTCAGGTCTGACTGGATGACAGCTGGGGTTATTTCTAGGCAGTGTGGTATAGGGGATAGGGGAATGGATTTGGAGTCAGGAAGGCCTAGATTCAATCCTGCCTCAGACCCGTATTAACCATGTGATCCTATGCAGGTCACTCAACTGCTCTATGCCTCAGTTTCCTCATCTGTAAAATGGGAGGGTTGGACTTGATGCCCCTAGAGTCCCATCTCTTCCAACTCTAAATCTAGGATCTAATAGACCCTGAGATTCTCTGTTTTTGTTTATTTCTGTCTCACTACGGGCCAGGCTCAGATGCTGCCCAGGGCATGGACAGAGGCTGAAGAGGAAATTGTATCGTAGCTGGTTGTGGTTAGGAGGGGACGTTTGCTAATGCTAGCTTTTGGAATCGACGGTGTTAAAATTAGCTAAGGATCTCACAAACTGGAAGAAGCGCGTTGTCTCAACACGTTTCCCTTGCTGTTCTGGTTCCTGGTTTTTTGGCTGGGATGTTCCCCCTCCCCCTCCCCGCCCACCTCATACTGGCTACCATGAGTGTGAACAGAAGAATGGAGTGGAATCCAGGCACAGACCCACAGAGGGAAGGGGCCTCTGAGTGGGTGAATGGGGGCTGCCCTAGAAGCTTCTGCTGTCTGGCTTGGGTCCTTGTAGGAAGCCAGGTCTACCCTTCCTGGTAAATGAACAGAGATCAGAGTCACAGCAGGTGGGTCAGTAGTCATCTTAAGTTTGAGAACAGGGGTCTCTTACTTCCCCAGAGGCATGGTCTAACTAAGAACCAGAAGAGATTTTAGACATTAGGAAGTCCAGCCCATTCCTTTGAGGGATGAGGAAAGTGGGCCCATGGATGAGGGCTGTCCTGGAGCTTGAGAGTCAATTTTAAAATGTTCAGCGTGCGCATTTACGCCTCAGAAATCAACAAACTGCAAATCTTGGCTTGGTTCCTCGTCTTGTTGGTTATTTAGACTTGAGAAGCGATGGAGAAAGTGATGACAACAGAGATCAAAGTGGAAATTTTTCTGATGCCTCTCTAGTCAAGCATTTACCAGCACGCTCTGTCCCCAGGGTTTAAGTGACCGCCCAAGGTCTCACAGGCAGTAAGTGGCCCAGCTGGAACTTCATGTCAACAAGCAATTGTTAAGTTCCTACTGTGTGCCAGGCACTGTGCTAAGGCCTGGGGAGACAAAGAAAGGCAAAAAACAGTCCTTGCTTGCAAGGACCTCACAGTCCGATGGGGATGCCACAGGCTAACAACTTTGTCGCTCAGTTGTTTTAGTCATGTTTGACTCTCAATAACCCCATTTGGGGTTTTGTTGGCAAAGACACTGGAGTGATTTGCCATTTCCTTCTCCAGATCATTTTACAGATTAAGGAAACTGCGGCAAACAGGGTTAAGTGACTTGCCCAGGATCACACACAGCTAGTGTCTGAGGCTGGAGCTCAAGTCTTCCTGACTCCAGGCCTGTCGCTCTATCCACTTAGCCACCTAGCTGCCCTAAGGACTTTGTACAAGTGTGATATATATAGGATAAATTGGAGCTAATTCACAAAAGGAGGGTGCTGGCATTAAGGGGGGTCAGGAAAGGTTTCTCATAGAAGGCTGGATTTTGTCTGCAGCTTGAACGAAGCCAGGGCAGCCAGGAGATAGGGATAAGGAAGGAAGGAATTCCAGGCACAGGGAAACAACCAGTGAAAATGCCTGCAGTTGGGAGATGGACAGCAAGGCAACTAGTGTCACTGGGTTGCAGAGGAGGGGAAAAGATATAAGGAAACTGGAAAGGTCAGAAGGGAGAACCTGAAGCCACATGGCCTCTTGGGTGCCAGCTCTCAGACAGCTAGACGTGTGCGCTGTGGGCACTGAAGAGGGGGCTAAGTAGATTCTCTAGTCCCTGAGGCTGCAAAGTCGTGACCCCTCACAGAGAGAGGAAGGTCCCCAAGGGGTGCCACCAGTGAGCTCTGATAACACTTACTCTCCACATCCACCGTTACCGTCTGTCTTTTGACACGTCACTTGACCTCTCTGGACCTTAGTCCCCCCCCTCCCCCAACTTGGGAAGTGAAAGGCAGATTTGCAGAACTCATTTGTCTCATACCCCCCCCCCGACCCAGCCTGAGGGACTCATCTGCAACATCTCTCTTCCCTTTTTAGATACCACTGCGGCAGCCTTGGCAACTGGAGCCTGCATTGTGGGCATCCTCTGTCTGCCCCTGATCCTCCTCCTGGTCTACAAACAGCAGCAGGCGGCCTCCCACAGGCGTAAGTATCTCTGGCACCATCTCTCCCAGGGAGCCGTGAGGAATCACGGAGGACGGCTTTGTGACCCACAGCCCGCCTCCCCTAGAAATGGGAAAAAGAGCAGGCAGGAGTCATCCTTCTCTTTTTTTGATAGAAGGAAAGCAAGATGCCAACTGAATGAGGGACTTGGGGGCCGGGAGCTTGGCCAGGAATTGGACCTCTGTCATCTATTGCCTAGCCCTGGGTGTCAGCCACCTCTGCGCCAATGTGGTCACATTGTCCGAATAAAGAGAAGGTTGCTTTGGCCATGCTTGCAGAGAGATAGAGAAAGAGAGAGAGAGAGAGAGAGAGAGAGAGAGAGAGAGAGCGCTCTACGCTCCTTTCTTCCTTCTGGAAGCCAATTTCCCAAGTTTTTTAAATTTTATTTTATTTTTAGGTAATTGGGGTTAAGTGACTTGCCCAGGGTCACACAGCTAGTAAGTGTCAAGTGTTTGGTCTGAGGCTGGATTTGAACTCAGGTCCTCCTGACTTCAGGGCTGGTGCTCTATCCACTGCGCCACCTAGCTGCCCCCAATTTCCCAAGTTTTAACATGAAGAGATAGGACTAGGTAACCTCTCAGGTCCTTTCCAGCTTTAACATTCTGAGACAATTTACTATATTAATTAATTACTGTCAGTCCGCAAAATCTGCCTGGATCCTACCCTATTATTTACCAATACTGTCCCTCCTCCCCATCCCACTGTGCCTCACCCCAAGCTGGTCACACCAGCTCCTCAAAATACCTAAGTTAAGAAACCACAAGCATTCTGCTGCTGCAAATCAGTCAGTCACAAAGTGAGATTTGAGTGAGCCCAGCACTGTCGATGGGTGGTTAGGGATACAGAGACCTAAGGCTCTGTCCCTCCCCTCATGGAGTTCATAGTCTAACACTCAAAGAAAAGCCAAGACAATAACTCCGATGCCTTTTATCTCCTCTGCTCCTTACATGACCACTCCAGGGTCTCCCAACCTAAGCCACGGGCACTGGCCTGCAGTGGGAATACAACCTCTTTGTAAGCCCTCTCCCTCCCACCTCAGCCCCAGCCATCACCCCCGTGAGGCAGGCACAAACCTGTGCTTAGCTTAGACTCTCCCTCTACCATGAAGATGGGAGGGGGAAAGGCAGGATCCTGTAGGCTCACTACCTGTTTCCTTTAGACCTTGGGAACACAGGTATGGACTAATTGGGATGGTGAGGCTATGGCCCCCATAGAGTGGACAGCTGTAGTCTTTGCGGTTTTATTTTCAAGGCCCCCACATTCCCTTCTCCAAAATCAAAGCAGCCTCAGTGGTGGTTCCTGCTGTTGACAGGAAAGAGATTGCTTCACATTACGGGTGTTTAGAATAGAAGCAGAAGGAGGGGCCCGATTAAGGGTGCTCCCTTCCCCCTCTCCCAATTCCATCAGGGATAAAACTGCCAAGCAATTAGCCAGCCTCCACTCTTGGGTCACACTCATCCATAAAACATTTTCATGAAGGCAAAAAATGAAAAAGGATAAGGGGGAAGACAGTTCCCAGCCAACTGCATTGCATAATCTGAGGCTTATTTTCTAGATGAATAGATGGTTTCCGTTCCTTCTGCTCCAAACCGCAACACTGCCCCCTTTATGGGACCAGAATAGAGAACTGGAACTCAGGGAAAACAAACTCATCAACACAGGAGGGAGTGGGAATGGCCTAATCCCCTAGCATCCTGCCTCTAGATGCTCTTAAAAAGGTCACAGAGTGCTTCATCAGCTACTTGGTGTCAACCCTGGTCCTAGCTGGGGGGGTTAGGGGGCTTCCCTACAAAGAGAGTGAAGCCCTTCAGAGCTGACACAGATGTGGCATGGTTTGGTGAAGAGGTTTGAAATCTGGAGAGCCCTGACTTTGTGATGTATCCGCTGCATGGTCCCCGGCATGTGCCCGAGCCTCAGTTTCCCCTTTTGAAAAATTAGTGTGATAACACTACTTTGGTACTACCTCACAAGATTGTATAAAAAGTGCTTTGGAAACCTTAGAGAACTATAGAAATGTTAGTCGGTCAGTCAATGAACAAGCATTTATTAAATGTCTACTACGTGCCAGGCACGATGCTAAGCACCAGGGTACAAAGAAAGGCAAAAAATAGTTTTTACCCTCAAGGAGCTCACAGTTGAGGTCTGCTGTCCTATAGGGGTCCTTCCCAAAGTATAAATATTCATAATTACCTGCCCTTTGGACAGTACCATCTTTCAAGATCTGATATGACTGGTAAGTCAGGGAATGGGAAAAGTCATCCATCAGTAACTTTCCAGCTACAGCCATGATGAGTAAGTTAAAGCTCAAAACGAGAAAGTGGTTAATGTTTATAGAGAGGAAAACCAGCTATCAAATCTATGGTTTGTGCTTCAGTTCCAAAGGACTATGGTCTAAGTCTTGCTTTAGGTCTTTATTTAGGGCAGTTTCTGTATTAAAACGTTGGCCGATTTGGTTTCCACTGGGAAATGTGACATTTCAAACATATTTGTGAAATGCAAACAGTTCTTAATGGCCACTAGTGACCTGTAATCAGGACCTGTTAGGTCAACAAATAAATCATTGATTTATATTTCCTGCTTTTTAAAATGAGGAAGACTGAAGAATACGGTCACTGTAGGACTTGTCTTTAATCTTTGTTCCCTGGCATATGTTTATAAACACACATTTCCCCTTCCCCCAAGGATTCCTATCTCTGACCTAGACCCTTTTTGTCTTCTTCCAGGTGCCCATGAGCTGGTGAGGATGGAGAGGTAAGGCCTGTTGGTGGTCCTGCTCAGCTTTCCTGTTGGCTCTCCCAAGACTCTCCCTAGACTCTCCCTGCTGCAGGGCTTGGCACCTTCCCATTCTTCCTTCCTTTCCTAGACCCACACCCAGAGGCCTGGGCTGGAGTTTATAAGGATGGGGGAGGGTATTCTTGGTCACTCAGGGCTGACCGTATAGAATAACCTTTCTCATTCCTCACTGGGGGAATCACTGCTTATCCTCCCCCCTTTACTCCCTCCCCTTTCTCTCCTCTTTTCCCCTAGTGCCCGTTCCTGTCTTCTGTCCTGTCTAATCACGGTCTCATGAAATGAATGCTTGATTTGGAATCAGATGACCCACTTCCATCACCTTGGACAAATTAATCAAACTGCCTGGATGGACTCTAAGATCTCTGCCACCCGAATCTATGAACCAAAGATCCCATGAACTCTTTCAGAGTTCTCCCACTCCCCGTACCCAGTGACCCATCTATGCCAGGGTCCTTTGCCTAACCTCCCCAATCTTCTCTTCCACACTAGCCATGTACTTTTCCCTAGAGTGCCACTCTCAGCTAGGTGTCAATGAATGCTAATCCCTGTTAATGTGTTAACTAGAGAATGTGTTCCATTTCTCAGGTTATATAATGTTTTAACTCCATCCAAATGGACATGTCTCAGAGAGCCCCAAGGAGTTACTTAATTGGTGAGGAAGGGCTTTTACAGCAGAAGGGCCTCCTGGGGACCCTTAATTTGTGCCATAGAGATAGCCATCTACTTCATGGGGCTAGTGGCTCATCAGTATGACCTCTATCTTTGAATTGTCTTGACAGTCGGGGTCAGAGCTGTACCCCAGGCCTTGTTACTGAGGACTTGGGACACATATCCTAAGCAGGTTATTTCCAGGGGCCCTCTTCCTCTCTGCATAGCTTGGCTCCCACATCTGGAAGCCTGTGTATTATTAACGTGCATTAGAAGGGCTCTTGTCAGACACTGAATCTCAGGGGCAGCCTGGGAAGTGAGGGAGAAAACAGCTAAGATCTCAAAGACACTGAAACTAAGAATGCAAATTAGGGCTAGGCCTAGGAGTTTATGGCCTCCAGGAGGTCCTGGCCTCAGACACCTGGGGCCCTTTGGCCCAGCACTGTCGAAGAGTTCAAAATGTTAGAATATTTCAGTTTGGAGAGATGGAGGCTAGAGGGGGCAGGGACCAAGTCCATACTTTTGTGAGTGGGATGGGAAGGGGGATAAATGCCTGCAGGCACTTGAATTTGGGATGGAGATCCTCTGTAGAGCCTGAGAAAGTTTTCAAGACAAATAAAAGGAAGTCATTTTACTTAGAATAATATTATCTTAGGGTTGGAAGGGACCTAAAAGGAATGTTCTGCCTCCCTCACCTCCACCTCCTGAAACCCCTTGTTCCTTGTGAGGTTCAGCTCAAACACTTCCTCTCACACACTGGCCTTTTCTTCTCTGCCCAATGATTCAAATCACTTTGTACTTACTTGTGTATGCATTTTGTATTCAAGGATCTATGCATGTGTCCTCCCATCCAGCCCTCCCCTCCCCTAGTAGGATAGATAGAAGCTATTTCAGGGTTATTTTTGCCTATATTCTCAGTGACCAGCATGGTACCAGGCACATAAGTTTAAGCGCCGTATAAATATTACAAGAAGCTTGAGATAGAGTCGGGCTGGATAATCTCTAAGGTTCTTCCAGCTTGGAAATTCTATGATCCGAACCTTCATTTCTGTGATTACAAGAATTTCCATCTTCCATCCTGTGCTTAAAGAAAAGAGAGAATGTTCTCAGCTAGCGGATCAGGAGAGACTTCGGAGAATGGTGGTGTGTAGGATTTTAGCAGGCAGAGATGGGAGGAGGGGAGAGGATATTCTAGGTGGAGGAAAGATGAACAAAGGTGAGTAATGAGTTTGCCTCAAGGGTTCTTCTCCTGATAAAGCTGGAAAGCTCTGTTGGAGGCAGGCTGTGGAGGGCTTTGAATGCCAGGTGCAGTTTTAACTTTATTTAGTAGACAATGGGGAGCCATTGACGGGGTCTAAGCAATGATCAGGTCTGGGCATTAAGAAGATGTAGAGATCCGTACTGAGGGGATGCTGGCTTAGGTATAGGCTGGACTCCCTTCCAACTCCAGGAATCCAGTGTTCTAAGATTGATTTCCCACCCAATAGACCCTCTATCCAGCTCAAGCTAGACTTAGAGAATTAATTATACCAGGATGAATATTATCAGTAGAATAACGATCATAATAGAATAGACTCATGATAGCTTAATAAGGGAAACTAAGAATATTTTAAGGCTAGTCTTTTGCCCTGGAGATTGATGCCAAGGAAAGAAAGCCTGATGTCCTTGGATGCTCTGGTCCACCCTACCTTGGTTTCTCTCATAGAATGGGGGAGGGGAATGAACCCTTGTTCTGGGGTCATGAGTTCGGTATGGGTGAGAATGCTGAGTCTCAAGCCAGGGGAAAGAGTCAGGGAAAGGAGTTAGGAATGAGATCCAGCAAGGGCTGGACCAGTTGGGTGCATGTGTAGGACCTCCTCACTGTTTACTTCTCTTACAGCAATGCACAGGGTATTGAGAACCCCGTTTTTGAAGCCGTGCCTCATGGGAACCCTGAATCAAAGCCCAAGCCTCCTCTGTCCTACATGGCTCAGAGACAGCCTTCTGAGTCAGGACGGCACCTTCTCTCGGAACCCAATACCCCGCTATCTCCTCCTGGCCTTGGGGATGTCTTCTTCCCTTCACTAGGTAAATGCTCTCTCTTAGACCCCAACCCTCTGGGAGCTTGTTGCAGCTTCTTCGAATTCCAACATCCATGATTCTCTGGGGGTACCTGCAGGCCATGAAAATGAAAGGAGAGAATGCATGCACAGCATCATCCTCATTCTCATTGTCTTATTGGGTCAGAGTGGGTTAGCATGGGGGGACAGTCCTGCTCTTACTCCGGTTTTCTGTTCTCTTGCAGATCCTGTCCCTGACTCTCCTGATACAGAAGCAGTCTAGAACTGCTTAGCATGGAGGGGGATGATAATAGCATTGCTGAGGGAGAGGGGCTAGGCCCGGGCAGTCCACAGATTGGCCCTTTGGACTGATTCCCCCTTGGACTCATTGTCTACAGTTCTTTGGTGCTCTCTTGGCCTTCTCCCTCCCATGCAGACCTAAGGGTCCTGATGATCACTCAGGATCCAACCTAGGGGGAAGAAAAATGCCTCATCAATCATCTCCCTTGGCCCCTTGGACGCCAGAGATACCATGGGACCTACTCCTCTGAGAGACTAATGATTTATCAGCCACACTCAACATCCTGGGACAAAATGCTGAGAATCCTCCCCATAATTCTGAGCTCTTCTGTCATTATTCCTTAGAACCAGGATATACTGAACTCTCGCCTTCCTCCCAAGCAAACCAGAATTCCCCTAAAGGCTACCAAGGGAATGTTGAACTTGATCTGTAGGGAAAGACCCCACCAGCTGATTCTCACTATGCAATCAAGGACCCATCAACCCATCCTGAAGTGTGTGTATCTGTGGGAGTGCCTTCCTTAACAAAGACTGAGACCTTGGGCGAGGAGGTAGTGAGGTGGGGAATGAGTCCAGCCAGCCAATGAGGAAGACTTCCTGACCTTATTCTAAGGTTGCCCACATCCAAGCAGCTGTGAATAAGCTAAGCCCCAGGTCACAGAAGATCACAGGGAAACAAGGCTTTGGGCTCAGGGGTTCCCTTTCCATTGGCTTTAGCCCCCCTGGGCTGGCCAGACACCCTCCACCCCAGACAAGAAGTGGCAGCTGGGGGGTACTATGTCCCTGTGAACAATCTGACATCTTGGGCAATCAGGGGTGGAACTCTCGGGATGAAGTATCCTTTCCTGGCAGCTGGCAGGGAGTGATGGGGCAAGGGGTGGGCACTGTCATAGTGACAAGAAGGAAGTAAACATTTGCTGACCAGAGGGGACCCAGGAGAGCTGAGGGGCTCTGGAGAGCTGGGGCTCAGTGCTCGGCCCCACTGGCGTGCCTTGGTGGCTTTGAGGACTCTACCTGCCTCCTCTGGGCCTTCATTCTCTGACCTACCGAGTCAGGAAAACTATCCCTGCCTTGTCCTCAGCTGATGGAGAGGAGGAGGATGAATAGGCACTCTGTAAATACAAGGCATTGTTAGCCCTCTGCTATCTGTTCACTTTGGCTGCTTTGTATGTATGAATTTGTACCTGGGTTTGCATTTGTTTAATAAAATGTGTGTGTATGTTTACATAGAGATAGAAGCAAAAAGGGGACACTTTTTTTGAAGTTGCAATTACAGGATTTTTAAAGAACCCAGAGAATAATTCTGTTTTTTGGATTGCTTGGAAGATGAAGAGAAAACACCTCTGACTTGGGCAGGGGGCAGTTTACAGCATCATAGGTGCCAAGTAGAACTCCAATGGGACCCAGTAGGTGGGAAGCTCTAGGTTCTAAGTGAGGAGGGGGGGATTTTTCCCCAGGGGTCCATTTCTCCCTGTGCTGTATTGGCTCAACCCTACCTGGTCTACAGTTGGGACCAGGTTTTCAAGGCTGCTGTGCTTTGGGAGGGATTCAGTTTGGCCTAGAATCCCTAGGGGTCCCCCTAGAAGTGAGGAAAATGAAGGGGAGGAAGGAGAGATGGAAATTGTCCCCCCTCTATGCCCATCTGCTGGGCCAAGCTCACCTGGACCCAGAGTTGGGAGAAACTCACACTGGGAGCTTGGACTGGTGTAAACAAGCCTATTTCCAAAGATCAGGTTTTCCTCCCTGTCCTTCCCATCTCCCCATTAGAAAAGAAAAAGCCTCATAGCATTGAGAGGGAAGGGAGTGATTCTTTCTCCTCTCTGCTGAAGCAGACACCAACCTCAGAGACTCTCACTTCTGCCCCGGCTCACTCTGCCAGCCCTCCCTTGGCACTCTTGACCCAGGTGCCAGGAGGAGGGGGGTCTGATTAAATGATCCTAATATAGAAGAGTCGGTAGAAATGAAATTTTATTCCAGTTACATGGAATAGAAGTGTCTACTGTTTGCAAGCGGCTCAGGAAGAGCCTTCCATGGGGCAGAGGACTCGTCACCTGTGAACTCAAGGAAGTGGGGGGGGAGGGGGAGGGACTTAGAAAAACTGGATGGGAGGGGCACAGCATGGAAGGGTGCCTGCTTTGAAGTGGGAGAAAAGGGCTTGGTGCTTGAGGGTGACAAGGAATCTTCGCTTTCTGAGCAAAGCATCACAAACTATCCTCCCAGGTGATGGGGAGTGATTGGGTCACCATCCTGTAGTGGGGAGAAAGAGACCTCAGGAGGCTGACTTGGGGTCACTTCTGAGGAGGCCACTGCACCCAGAGTGGGGCTGGGGGAAGGCGCTTACTCCTAGTGGCATCTTCCTAGGATTAGACTTACATGCTAAATGCTGGAAGGACCATGGCTGCTGTTAGCGCCCCTAGCTACTCTCCCCCCATTTCCCCAGGCGGGTTATGACTCTGGCTTTCAAACCCAGTCTCACCCTGGGGATTCCTCCCAAAGGGGCCTGGCAGCTGGCTTGGGCGCCAGGGTGGGGCTTGGCCAGATTGGAGGCCCATTGGCTGTGTTCAGCCAGGCAGCGCAGTGACTAGTGGCAGAAAGACCTGGATTCAAATCCTGCCTCAGATGCTTATTAGCTGTGTGACTCAGTACCTTTAACCTCAAGCCTGAGGTTCCTCATTTTAAAAATGGAGATAATAATAGCACCTAGTTCTGAAGATTAAGTGAGGCAACCTATGAAAGTGCTATATAAATACCAGTTATTCCTGTCACAGCCTCTGTGGTCTAATTACAGACATGATGATAATAATAACAACAACTCACATTTAAACAGTGCAAAGGGCCAGCCTCAATTCACTCCTTCTCAGATGCCTCAGTTTGGCATGGAGAGGGCTCCCGGGTTTTGTTAGCACAAACGCTTATGGGAACTAGAGGATTGCAAAGACTTTGAGGAGGAGCCCGCAGAAGACCTGTGTGTCATTTAATCATCATCCCAGAGAAGACCGGAGAGGTTTCTCACCAGGGTGGCCGCAGATTGTTAACATTTTCAGTCACAGCAACTCATGGAGAGTCTAGTAAGGAGAGGGGGAACAGTGTATGGCCAGCCAATGAATCGCTGATCTCTGAATTACTAAAATATTGTTTGCAATAACCTTGTTCAGTAGCATATTATCCTCATTTTACAGATGAAGAAACTGAGGCTTAGATGGGTGGACAGGCTTGTCTGAGTCACAGAGCCAGTCAGTGACGAAGTTGGGCTTTAACGAACTCCCTATCTCCAGATTCTAAGGCCGGCGTCCTTTGCCCTAGACCATGATTATCTCAGAATGATATCTTATGCATTGTACCTTTCAGTTATGTTTTCAGTAAATTTCTTTTCTTTCTTTTCTTTCTTTCTTTCTTTCTTTCTTTCTTTCTTTCTTTCTTTCTTTCTCTTTCACTTCCTTCCTTCCTTCCTTCCTTCCTTCCTTCCTTCCTTCCTTCCTTCCTTCCTTCCTTCCTTCCTTCCTCCCTCCCTCTTTCCTTCTCTTCTCTTTATTTCTCTCTTTCTCTCTCTCTTTCTTTCTTTCTTTCTTTCTTTCTTTCTTTCTTTCTTTCTTTCTTTCTTCCTTCCTTCCTTCCTTCCTTCCTTCCTCCCCCCTCCCTTTCCTTCTCTTTCTTTCTTTCTTTCTTTCTTTCTTTCTTTCTTTCTTTCTTTCTTTCTTTCTTTCTTTCTTTCCTTCTTTCCTTCTTTCCTTCTTCCTTCTTTCTTTCTTCTTTCTTTCTTTCTTCTTTTTTCTTTCTTTCTTCTTTCTTTCTTTCTTTCTTTCTTTCTTTCTTCCTTCCTTCCTTTCCTCCCTCCCTCTTTCCTTCTCTTCTCTTTATTTCTCTCTTTCTCTCTCTCTCTTTCTTTCTTTCTTTCTTTCTTTCTTTCTTCTTTTCTTTCTTTCTTTCTTTCTTTCTCCTTCCTTCCTTCCTCCCTCCCTCCCTCTTTTCCTTTCTTTCTTTCTTTCTTTCTTTCTTTCTTTCTTTCTTTCTTCTTTCTTTCTTTCTTTCTCTTTCTTTCTTTCTTTCTTTCTTTCTTTCTTTCTTTCTTTCTTTTCTCCTTCCTCCCTCCCTCCCTCCCTCCCTCCCTCCCTCCCTCCCTCCCTTCCTTCCTTCCTTCCTTCCTTCCTTCCTTCCTTCCTTCCTTCCTTCCTTCCTTCCTTCCTTCCTTCCTTCCTTCCTCTTTGGAAAGCTATAGTGGTGGTGATGAGGTAGTTTGCCCATGTCCATGCTGGTGAGTGTGTGTGTGTGTGTATGTGTGTGTATGTGTGAATGGAAGTACCCCAGAGGCCAGGCCTGGGCTGGGAGCAACAGTAGGGGGCTGAGGCGGCCATCTCCACACTAGAATACAAAGAAGAGCTACGGAGGAGGGCTGGGCCTGAGGTTTTGCTGTGAGCTCTGGCCCTCTTCTTGTCTGGGCCTATTTCCTTACAAGGGAGGAAGAGGGCTGGAGCAGAGATATGCTGCTTCCTTTGCTGGCCTTCCTCCTGCACAGGCCTTTCTGTTTCTCTCTTATTTTTGCCCCTGAAAATGAGTCTTGGTGGTTTCCTGTTTTCAGTGAACTGAACTCTGAGTTTCAGGACTTTGACATCTCCATTCATCACCACCCACCTCTACCCATCCTACCTCCCTTCATCCTCCTACTGTTCACCCCCTGGGTGTGGAGTATCTCTGTGGGTTTGGGGTTGTTTTTGTTTTTGTTGTTCAGGCAAGGGGAGGAGGTCCTGGTCTCCCTTCTCGTTACCTAGATTCAGTTTGTGTTGAGTCTAAAGGCTCCCGAAGAAACTGAGGTACAAGTGGTTCAGGGATTCTCCCTAGCCAATAATTGCTAATAATAGCTATTATTATCTAGGGCTAATAATAACAATAATAACTAACATTTATTTAGCACCTACTATATGCCAGGCACTGTGCTAAGAGCTTCATGATTATTTTCTCATTTGAGCCTCGCAACAACCCTGGGAGGTAGGTGCTATTATTATCCCCATTTTACAGATCAGGAAACTGAGGCAAACAAAGGTTAAGTCACACAGGGTCTCACAGCTAGTAAGTTTGGATTTGAACTCAGGTCTTCCTAATTCCAGGCCTGGTGCTCTACCCACCCAAGGACTAAGTATCAGAAATGGGGTTGGAACTCAAGGATTCTGATTCCAGAACCAGAGATTTTGTACTATACCACTCTTCCTCCCAGACCCTCTCCTGAAAAGCTATGGAGAAGTATAATATACTAAGAAAACAGGCATTTATTAAGCACCTACTTTATGCCAGGCACGGTGCTAGGTGCTTTACAA